GACTTCCAAATGCATCAGATTCATAATAATCGATGCTTCGTGTTCTCCAAAGTTTCAAAGAAACTCGTGTAGTTTCAAAGATATTTTTATTTATAATTATTATATTGAGACTATAAATAAATGTGGTATCGAATGTTTGACCACAATTGGGACACACATATGTATGATTATATCATGCAAAATAAAGATGGCAAAATTATTTATAATAGTAAACTTAGTTTACTAATGCTTTAGGCATAGCATAACCGGTCAAGGTATCCCGGTAGAAAAATGCATTTGATAATAATGATCCAGATCCAGGATCCGTATCAGTGCTAACAATGGCCTGATTAAAAAAGTGCAATATATTGAATTGCTCTTCCTTAATCAAAGAGATGTCTTTGGACCTCTTGTCACTATATCTAAAGATGTAAAACCTGTTATGTGCAAGTGGGTCTTCTTGCAAAATAGATGAAATCACACGATATAAAACCCAACTTGTTGCACAAGGTTTTTCTCAAAGACCTGGAATTAATTAGAAAGAAAAAAAGTTCTCCGGTCATGAATGCAATTATATTCAGGTACTTAATGAGCCTAGCGGGCTCTAATATAGTACCTTAAGGATGTAGTGACAACATATTTATATGGATCATTGGATAATGATATATACATAAAAATCCCAAGAGGATTTAGAGTTTTAGAGGCATTAGACTCAAAGTCTAAAGAAATATGTGCAGTCAAATTACAGCGATCATTTTACGGCAAAACAATCTGGACGCATTTGGTATAATCGTTTAAACGAGTATTTATTAAAGAAAGAGTATGTTAATAATAAAATATGCTCTTGCGTCTTTATTAAGAAATCTCTATCGAGATTTGTGATCATTGCTATATATATTGATGACCTAAATAATTGGAACTTTAAAAAAAATGATTAAATATCACTAAAAATTTATGTTAAGAAAGATAAGTATATTCAAGCACTGCATGCTTCTTTGATAAGCTCATTATATAATAGTCGATTTCCGTAATATTTCTCTCAATTAAACCCGTGTATAACCGGTCTAGAAATAGAGATTCGGTCCAAGATGAATAGGATTGAAAAGCCATCCTCTTTGGAGTGGGTTTTACAAGTCCCACATTTTTATAAGGATCTAAGATTAAATACATGATCCAGATTGGATATGTTATTGATTCTAAAGTGGGATTCAGTTCGAGATGAATAAAATCAAAGAGTTATCATCTTGAGGGGGAGAATTAAAGAATCCCACATCGACAATACGTCTATAAGTTTCAATAAGTCGATAAACTTTGGTAACTTTGACACCCCAGAGCGAGATAACTCTAGTGAAGTCATATCCTAAAATTTATCACTTTGTGACAAAGTGGAACATCTAAAAATGATATTCACTCTCAAAATGAGCTTTAACGAATCGTTCATATCGCAAATTCGAGAGATTGCAAAACGATTCATAAAGATTTAATTTCCATGTTTTTACATGGAGCATGCTGTTTTGCATGTATTAATCTATACTAGTATTTTTGCAGTCATTTTGGTGATGGGTGGGTAAAAATGCTCCCGGGTTATTTGCATTCCTGACCCGTTTACAAATTTTGGTCATAAAAGTTTTGTTAGGTCGGGTTATATTTAACCCAACTCATACACCGGATATTCCATATTTAATAATTTATATATTTAGAAGATTTGATTAAGATTTAGAATTATGATTCTCCTATCATCTTTGTTTGATTTGTTTTTAACTGTTTTGAATCATCATATAATACACAAAGTAAAAAAAAAAATCAATTTTTTCTGCATATATTGTGATTCGAAATTTTAAAAACGGACATATATTATCCAATTGACGAAAATGTGTGTTCAACGTTCTACATCGATTAAAATATTTAGACAATGATTCAGAATCATATCATAAATAAGATCAACATTAATAAAATAAATGAGTTTTTATGCCGGACGGGTTTGGCGGGACGGGTTTTTGAATCAACAATAATAAAAATATTAAAATATCATTAATCCGTCGCTTCAATACGGATTAAATCCTTAATTTTTTTTTAATAGCACCAATATTAGCCATATTAAATCAGTCTCATTTAGAAAAGATTGTATAAAACCAAAAATTGTCACGTGGTATAATGTTACTTAATAACAATTGTAAACTATAAAATATAAATATCTTAGAAAATGATACAATTTGCAAACTTTTATATATAATAAATAATCGTTAAATTTTAAAAATTACTACTTTTAGAAAACAAATCATGGGACGAGTTAAAAAGTTACAGGACGGGCTATATTTCAGAACGAAGTTATATGGTGGACGAGTTTGAATCAATATTTATAAAATTTTAAAATATCATTAACATGCCGCTTTAATACAGATTAAATCTTCAGTTTATTAAAATATAAATGTCTTAGAGAATGATATGATTTGTAAACTTTTATATATAATAAATAATCATTAAATTTTAAAATAAAAACAAATCACGGGACGGGTTAAGAAATTATGGAACTGGTTATATTTCAGAACGGATTTATATGACGGACGAATTTGAATCAATATTTATAAATATCGTTTAATACGGGTTAAATCTTCAGTTTATTAACAATTTCTCGTGGACTCGTGGTATATCGTTACTTAATAACAATTGTAAACTATAATATAAATAAATATTTTATAAGGAGATATAATTTCAAAATATTTTTACACTAACTTAAAAAATAAATTATCCCGCGGTGTACCGCGAGTTAAAATCTAGTGATTATGTAAAAGGCCAACGATTTATAAGAAATATTTCTCCCATGTTATATATACATGATTGGAGATCAAATATTTCTCATTTTTGAATTTTATGAGTGTGAGATATATGTTATAAATGCTCCTCTACACCGTATAAAAAGAAAAAAAATTACATCCTAAGAGGATGAAATATATAGATGCATGAGATGGGTCTCTTAGCTCTATAAATATTGAGCCATCTTTTAGAGATGTGCCTATTGCAAGATTTGCAAATCATCATGTTGATGTTAAAAGTTCCCCATCACTATGGGAGAATCATTGGATAGTTTGGATCTTTGAACAAATGACTATAATAAATACGAACTTAAGAGTTCAGAAGTTCAAATGGACCACTATTCATAGTAAATTGTAAATCAAATGCAAAAAGCTGATGGATGAGATTTCATAAAATTATTGATCCTTGTATAAATGCATATGAATTTAAAGTTCATAGGAAATCTCTTGTCCCAGCTAAAAAATACTCTACAAAAATTATGTCTCTGGCGGATGACATATTATTGTCTATAACACGTAAAAAAAAAACGTGATAGACAACTTTGGTTCCAAATATAAAGAAAATATTCGAGAAACAAAAAGAGCAAATTATATAAAAAGAGGATTATACTCTTAAAAGAGGAGCATATAGACTTCTAAAGAGGAGCATAGAGACTCCTCAACACGAGCAAGGAGACTCCTATAGAGAAGTAAAATGATTGATTGGCATGGTTAAAGAAGAAATCAAGTACCTGAATAAAATCATTTATAATAATTAAAAAATATCGATTAACCATGTCATTACGGTAAATATGGAACTAAGGACAATATAATGTCGACAATAAAAATGATCTAGTGCACAAATGTGATTAATGAGGATCATGAATCTCCACTGGGAGCGTAAAGAGATATATATTGGCCAATAAACAAAGACGCAACCAAGTCTATATTAATCTCGTATAAGAAACGAGTAATTCCTGGACACATGCTCCAAGCATAAAAAAGTATTATGATACTTAAGACAAGACGGTGTGTCACGCCGGGTTTTGTCAAAATCACTCGATATTGAGTTGATGAATAAATTACTTGAATTGCGCCTCATGGGATGTCTATAGGACTAATCCTTGAAAGATATATGATATCATAGTTATATTCCCGGGAAGTCATAAGCATGATGTTTTTGAACATCATCAAAACTCTTAAAGAGTTATTTGGAATAAAAGATCTTGGAAAGACAAAAGTGTTTCCAGATATTCAAACTAAACATCTAAAGAAATAGATGTTATATTAGTCACTTCTAAAGGAAGTCGACTCTATATAGTATGATCATGAAGCACTATATATAAATGATGGCGAGTATTTATATATTTTGTGAATTGTAGCTAGCATATATAAATGCTGACGAGCATTTATATATCTAGTGAATATATTGTACTTAGCATTTGCTACTGATCTACTTGCAGAATTAATTCATCTCTTCCGACGAGACTTTGAATGAGTTTAAATGTGTCTTCCATTATCTGTGCAAGGTACAATTGACTTCGATTTATTTTATCCTAGAAACCCCGAGTTTGGTTTAGTTGGTTCTGCAGATGGAGGATCTATATCAGATCTATATAAATATATATCGCAAAACAACAACTTCGTGGCGTTTCCAACAAAAAAATTTGGTCGTCGCTTGTTCAAGCCATACCAAAATTATTGCGCTCTATGAAGCACGTTGAAAATCTGTATGGCTCAGATTGATGCCCTCAACATATACAACACTACAAAAAATATGAGCATTGATAGCACATTACGATAGCGCATTTTTCGCATCTGCTATTAAAGATGGTACTCGAATTTTGGTAACTATATTATAGCATTTCAGAAACGCTAAGCCCTATAATAACAGAGCCGAAACTAAAATCACTTATAACTGCTAAATATTTAACGAAAATTTGCCCAGAGCACCAACACTTAGCCAAAAAAATAAGAAAACGCTCAAATTAAAAACCAAACCCTAATTTCTATATATCTTCTCCATCCTCTTTCTCTCCTTTACCTCTCCGCTCTCTTCCTCGATTCTTCCTTTCTTCCTAGATTATTCACTTCTCCTTAGCTCTCCTTTACCTCTTCACTCTCTCCATATGATTATACACCCCTGGATCTATTGGATTCTATCAATTTCATCCCCAAATTCTTCTTCTTCTTAAATTCTATAAATGATTCATTTTCCATCTTCGTCGCTTGTCTCAGATACCCTAAACCATAGCTTTCGATTTCGTTGGCTTGAAGCCCCAAACCATCTCCGAAGCTCGGTTCTTCAATTGCGTCAGCCTCCTCCCTCTTTATCCTTCTCTTTTGCATCCGCAGGTACGATTTTGTTAGGGTTCAATAGATTTATGAGCACTTGGGTTAGATTTTGTTAGGGTTCAGTTGATCGATTTGGGTTAGATTAAAATCTTATAAGCTTTTGGCCGAAAAACTGATGATGCTTTTCATGCCCTCCAGGTGTTCGACGAATTGCCTCATTATTGGCTTGCTTGTTACTTAACATTGTTTGGTGTTCTGTAAGCCTATTCCTATTAGATTTACATATCTCATTTGATATTAGTATTACTAGAACAGTTTTGTGAATAAAAATCTCATTGTTGTGAATAAAAATTAGAGTTTTGAACTGTTTTGTGTTGATTTTGGTTTGTGGTGTTGCTGTTGAAACTTGCAGGTCCTTAAGATTCTACCTTCCAAGTCATTAACACGTATAAGAGTAGAGAAGAGGTATAGTTTATCTTTGGTGGGTGCTTAAGATTCTAATCAGTTGGTCTCCAGGTACAATTATGAACTCATATTCTCTTTAAATTAATAGTATCACTGAAACAGTGAAATGGTTGTCGATGATCAAGTTTGTTGTCAGTTAGCTAATGGGTCTAACGGGTTCTCTTTTCTTTTGGATATTTTTGTTGGAGTGTGGCTTGTGTGTTTGGAATGGGCGTTGGTTTTACTTATTCGTTTTGCTTCTTGCATACTAATTAGTACTCACATGGAAGTATTCTTGATGAAAGTAAGATAAATCACCTAGGTATAAGTGAATTTTAGGGCACAGAAACATGCTACTTTAATCTATTTTCTTTGTAAAAACATCCATTGTATCAAAACGAGTAATTTAACTTGTTTGTTGACTACTGAAATATTTTTGCAGCTTAAAACACATGAAGATGCGATAACTAACATCAAAAATGAGCTTGCAGTTGTGGAGCTTAAAGTTCAGGTCTTTATTTCTTATCTAGCTTCAGATTTGTGTATGCACAATCATGTTACCATCTTGCAATGAACATCAAATCATATGTTCTTGTCTGAGATTACGTGGAGCATGTGATCAGAGAAACTGGAGCAGATCTGGTATCAATCATAGTGTTAGTATACTTGGGGACTAGCTTCTTCTTAAGTTTTATATACATATCTAGAGACGTGCATTTTGGAATGCAGGTGCTTAACTAGCTGAATTGTTTTGCTTTCTTGGACAGACTATTGAAAAGCCATCTCTAATTTACTCTAGTATTGTTTTTTTGAACTGAATAGGTTGGTGGATGCCAATACATAATGTTTCCAGGGAGATATATTTACACTAAAAGACTGAAAGATGCAAAGAGACTGAAGTCAAGCTTACGATGGGTATGGCCATGGGAGGAATGAAGGTAAACTGATGTACACTACAAGAAAATCGGGTATTAATAGCACTTCATTATAGCGGTTTATGTGTTTTTGCTATAGTTGACTTATGCATGATTTTTTTATAGCGTTTCTAAAATAAAAAACGCTATGGTATGTTAATGGTAAAAAAGTAATGTGTTAGGTCTTATATTTTTAGTTCTCCAGTTACTTAGTAATAGCACATACTATAGTAAAACGTTATCGTAATTAACAAGGGTTGGCTGATTTTATAGCCATAAACTAGTTGCATTCTCAGCTTTCCCCCCCAACCTTTTCGCTCCAGCTAATTCCACCATTAACTTAGATAATTCTCACAATTTCAACATGTACTTTCGGATTCATCCTTAAAACTACGCCTCCAATTGAACCGGTCATTAAACCGGTTCTAACCACAAATCCGCGTTTACTGTACTGCGATTGCGATTTACCCGATTAAAAACCCATTACCCGTTAAGAAAACGACGTCGTTTTCATTCTTCTTCTTCTACAAAATCTTCGCCGGAGGTTTCAGTTAACGAGCAATCCACGGCGGCGGAGTCGCCAAGATCGATCAATTATCCAAGTCGGATTTCGAATCAGATTCCGCCAAGAAAAAGTATCGATTCACGTCAGGTTTTGAATCAGGCGCCGAAGGAACTATCGTCTGAATTGAAGCAAGAACGCATCGTTTATTACAAGAAGTGGCTCCTGAATTGCCTCCGCAAGAAGTCCTCTCTTTGCTCGAGCGCTTTAATTGGGATGTGGAGAGAGCCGGGGACCATTACTGTGACCAGCGACATTCGCAGCATCGTACTTCATATGCCTGAGATTGATCAGTCGTCTTTGCAGGGGTTTCAAGAGGGTCATATGCCGATGATTGGGGTTTCGAATTTGGAACGATTCTCACAAGATGAAACATCGACGGCTTTGGCTATGGATTTGATGGACCTTAGTGCTCCGCCTCTTCCATCGTTACATGCTTCTGTTGGCTATCAAATCGGCAACTTTTCTTCTTCTGGGTAATTTCCTTTTACTTTTCTTGATTTAGGGTTTAGTTGATTACTGAGAAAATGTTTTTGTACAGTTTGATGAACGTTGATGTGGATGAGATGGGAGATTTACACGATGTACCTATAATGTCTTCCTCTCAAGAGCAGGTAAGTAATCTTCTCTTTCTCTCTGTATTTCTGTGAAGAATGAGAATCATAGTTGGCTTTGTTGTTCTCTGTTTTCTTAAGATTGTTTTTATAAACAAGGGAACTCTATGTTGATTGATGCACACAGCTTTAGGAATGAAGAACCCTAAACGCCCAAATCGATTTTGTAGAAGAAGAAGAATGAAAACGACGTCGTTTTTTGTTTGGGTTTTGATGAGTTTATCAAAAAGAAAACGACGTCGTTTTCTTAACGGGTAATGGGTTTTTAGTCGGGTAAATCGCAATCGCGGTACAGTAAACGCGGATTTGTGGTTAGAACCGGTTTAATGACCGGTTCAATTGGAGGCGTAGTTTTAAGGATGAATCCGAAAGTACATGTTGAAATTGTGAGAATTATCTAAGTTAATGGTGGAATTAGCTGGAGCGAAAAGGTTGGGGGGGAAAGCTGAGAATGCAACTAGTTTATGGCTATAAAATCAGCCATCCCAATTAACAACGATAAGAAAAATTCATTGCCGCCTACACTATAAAAAATGTATCTAAAATTTCATTGCCCGCCTAAGTAATAAAAAAACAATAAAAAAACATTTAACCTAACACCTAAACAATACACAGTCTTATCGCCTTCCTTCGAATTAAAACATCTCCTTCTAATTATCATCATCTTCCTCTACTCCGAGAAACACCACAACACAAAACCTCCCAAATTCGATGACCTAGTCGAGCTATTCCTCTCCCCAGTACCTTTAATTCTCTTCCCGACGCAAAACTCCCGCTTCAGATCTTCGAAATCCGTTACGAGTCATGATGCAAACACTCATGAAGATTCTGAAAGCCATAGAAGACCAATCGCAACTTCTATACTCCAGCTAAGGAAATTCCTTAGACCGCCACCCCGACGAAATCCTCATCAATCGCAACAAGAGGGTGTAATCGATCAAGTTCCTAGCGTTGTTCATAAGGAGGCTGAGATCTATGACTGCTTGCAAGGTAAAATGTCTAGATCTGTTTGATTTTAGGGTTGATTCTGCTTTCGTTTAAGTGTTATTGGATTTTGGACTCTAAAATTTGGATTGTAGGGTTTCAGGTTTCCAAAATCCGTGAAGAGTACCCAGGTTTCTGCTTACATTCTCAGTGTGTTTCCTTCGCCTAAGGTTAATAATCTTCCCCTCAAACCACTCGTAGAGTCTCTGGTTTTTCGATTTATTGAGTGGTACGATATTAATTGCTTTTGAAATTTTAATTTCGTTTGGAATTCTGACTAATTTTCACAAATTTTGTCCAAGTTCTTTAGTAAATTGACGATGTGATGATATATTTAGGTTCATAACCACGTTGCTTCTACAATTAATCTCGTAATTATGCTTTCTCTCATCAATATAGAACAAAATATATTGTTTTTTTGCTGAAAAGTTGGATTTTAGAATTTTTTTTTTGTTTTGCAGAGTCGGATGATTTGTCATGAACAGATCAAGCTCTTCAAACTTTATACTTTACCGACAAGAGACTTTTTCTCACTTGGTATGTTTGTATGTTTGGACAAAACTTGATGATTTGTGTGTGTCTCTAATGTTGTTCTCTTTGTAAATGCTTTTTAATGTGTTTTTGTTTTCCACATATAATGTTTATCTGCAGTGCTAGGATTAATTAGCTGGAGACGTGATGCTTATAACTATGAAACCTGTTATGAATTGATAAGGACATTTCTCTTGGCAAAGGAGGAAGCTAATAATGTTGATGATATTTGGCAAAGGAGGAAGCTAATAATGTTGATGATATTGGAGAAGACGTTTCAAAGATTGGAGGTCCAAGAGGTCCAATGGTGTGAAGAATCACAAGTTAAAAACAAGAGTTTATGAAATTTATCTTTTAATTTGTACTTTTACTTTGTAATATAGGTCTTTTTGTATACGGTTTTCATAGAAATGTAATAAAATATTTTTTTTTCTTTTTTAATTTGTCAAATTATCCAAAAAAACAAAAAAGAAAACCTAGAAAACAATTACAGAAATTGTCACATATATAAAATGCTATGAATAAAACAATTCGTAACAAAATATAATTGCTATTGTAAAATATAAAATTACAGAAAAGAAAACGTTATATTTGACCAAGATACGATAGCAGTGCTAAAAACCGCTATCGAAAGTGGCGGACCTATTATGACGGGCGCAGATATAGCGCTTGTCAAAACGCTATAGAATAATTAGATAGCGTTATTCGGATGCTACGAAAAGCCATTTGTCTAACGTACGAAGTGCAAGTAGCTATCTTAGCTTAAGAAGTTTGTCTAATGTTAGTTTATTTTGTGTAAGACTTGGTGGCACTTACGATGTTAGTATAAGACTTGGTATGATGTTATGTAAAACTTGTTTTGGTTAATTTGATATTAATGTTATGTATTTTGATGATTTATGTAATATATAAATAGTATATAAATCCAATTTAAAAAATTATGCAAAATAGGATTCAATTATAAATTTATATAAATCAAATTAATATATTCGTATAGCGAAACAAAAATGCTACAACATAATATAAAACAGCACAAAACATGTGTTACAAGAAAGTATATTAAAGCATTTGGTTAATGCTATAATAAAACGACTTACAATAGCATACTAAAAAAATGCTATCGTATGTGTGGCACCTACCATAACAGGGGCATAAAATAGCATTTATGAAAACGCTATAAATGACATATTATAGCACTTCTGTCATGTTAAGAATGTGCATTTTTCTTGTAGTGCAAGAAGCAAGCAATATAGGCACCAGTGAAGAGCCAACAACAAGACACTGCTGCAAATGTTTCCCGATTCAAAGGAAGCTATGTCAAGAGCGACATGAGAAGACATATTTCTCCTAGATTCTTCTCTTACAGTCAAGAGCCCGAGAAGAATCAGGAAATTGATATCCAGTACATCCGGCCAAGTAACAATATAGCAGTTTTAGTTCAAAGGTGCTTCCTGCTACAATATTCAGAAAGCATATTCAGAAATCGAAATGTATCTTTTGAAGATGATGCTTCCAGGGAGAGACATATGATGATGAGCGTGGCTGCACTCTTTTTTCCTTATCATAGTTTTTATCCCACTGAGTTTTTCCATGACAAGGTTTTTAACGAGGCAGCAAATAACACGCAAAAGATAGACATCAAAGTAAATGTCTATCTCCCTTCTTAAGTCTTTGTCATATATTAACGAGATCAAGAGAAGCGAAGAGAATATTCAAGATGTATCATCTACGAAAGCTATGAAGAGAACAAGTTTCGTCTGTTCCAAGGAGAGATTGCATTACTGCACTCTCTTTTCCTTTATCATGGTTTTTCTCCTATATGGTTTTTCTATGGTAAAGTTTTTTTTTAACGAGGCAGTACGCAATCTATTAATAGTGATGGATACTCAAGAGGGAGTATTATAAATAGATAAATATGGATATGATTATCCCACTTTCATGTCTTATAGATGATGTTTATCTTGTTGTAACTTGGGCTCAAAGTTGCTTGGGCTCAAAGTCACTCTACTATATATATGTAATCGTTAGTGAGCAAAGTTAATAACAAGACAAAAGAAAGAAGAGATTTTATTTGCTCTCCTTCTCTCTACGTTCCTTTTTTCTTTCTTAGTTATTTCCAATACATATATAATATTATATTATTTATGTGTTTGCATTATATTTTATAACGGATATCAATTTTATTTAATACTTTAGCATAGGCCTGGGCGTTCGGGTACCCGTTCGGTTCTGGTCCGGTTCCGGTTCTTTCGGTTCTAGAGTTTAGGATCCATATAGGAACCAAACAATTTCGGTTCGGTTCCGGTTCCGGTTCCGGTTCTTTCGGTTCTGAAGTTTAGGATCCATTCGGATATTTTATTTCGGATATTTTTAGGTATTTTGGATATTTTTGGGTATTTTCGGATATTTTTGAGTATTTTTTGGATATTTTAAGTATTTTTTTGATATATTTTCCAAATATTTGTTGGTATTTCGGATATTTTTGGTTATTCGATCTAAAAATAACTAATATTTTTAGATATAAACTCATATTTCGGGTATTTTTGGGTATCCGAAATATTTCGGTTCGGTTCGGTTCCGGTTCCGGTTCTTTCGGTTCTAAAATTTAGGATCCATTTGAGTATTTTAAAATTTCGGTTCGGTTCCGGTTCGGTTCTTTTTGCTTCGGTTCCGGTTCGGTTCTCGTGGTTCGGTTATTTTGCCCAGGCCTAATTTAGCACCTACATAATAAGTACGTGCAAATATATATATATATATATATATATTAAAAGTTTTTGATTCTCATCAGGACCCCGCAAAATTTTTTAATTGTTCCAATCTTTTGTTCCTCAATATAAGGTAATGTTATAGAGTAAAAATAACTCAATAAATTTAATTTAAGAGAAACAATATTTAATTTCAATTTCACTATATTAAAATAAAATTAACCCGATTTTTATTTTCTGAAGTTACTTTTGTAAACACTATTCCTCCTATTTGGGCAGCCAATCAAAGAGATTTTTAATAATTAATGTGTAGTTGACAAAAAAAAAAAGATAATTAACCATTATTCAAAAATATATATAGTAAAATTAGTTTAAATTATTTTTTGCTAGGCGGCTCAGATTTAGTGAAAATGTCTTCCCCAACCGAGGGTCTGAATGGCACTCCGATTTAGGTATGACTCTGATTTGAGTGAGGGAGCATGTAGTTTGGGTGTGGTGTGATTAATCAAATTTATGAATAGTCATGCGATTTAGGTACGATCCGTTGTCCTATTGTTCGAATGATAAAATGATATGTGCGATTAGATGACAAACTTACTTCAAAGGATATTGGTTATATTATTATTTTTATCAATCTTTTACTTATTTATTTGATGTATTTTTTCGCTAAAAACGTGATTTTACGTTTTCCCACATTCGATGTTTTGTTTCTCCCACCAAGTGTGATTTTTGGTTTTTCCGCCAAAAACGTGGTTATGCATATTCGGTTGGTGAAAATATCTTCCCCAACCGAGGGTCCGAATGGCACTCTGATTTAGGTGTGACTCTGATTTGAGTGAGGGAGCATGTAGTTTGGGTATGGTGTGATTAATCAAATTTATGAATGGTAATGCGATTCAGGTACGATCCGTTGTCCTATTGTTCAAATGATAAAATGATACATGTGTGATGAGATAACAAAATTACTTAAAAGGATATTGGTTATATTATTGTTGTTATCAATCCTTCACTTATTTATTTGATGTATTTTTCAGCTAAAAACGTGATTTTTTTCCCACATTCGATGTTTTGTTTCTCCCACCAAATGTGATTTTTGGTTTTCCCGCCAAAAACGTGGTTATGCATATTCCTACCAAAAACATGGTTCTCCATTTTTCCGCCAAACATGTGATTCCGTGTTTTTCCATCAAAAATGTGGTTCCACATTTATCCACCAAAAACGTGATTTTCGTTTTTCTACTAAAAGACGATTCTATGTTTTCCCGCCAAAATGTGATTTTCATTTTTCCGCCGAAAACGTGATTCTGCATTTTCCCACTAATCACGTTTTTCAAGTCAAAAACGGAATTTCTTGTTTTTTGCCAAAAAAGTGATTCTGTTTTCTTCCGCCAATCACGTTTTCCGTTAACAGTGCGATAAAAACGTGATTCCGTTTTTTTGCCGAAAACTTGATTTCGCATTTCCCACTAAAAATATGATTTTCAGTATCTCCGTAAAATTATGTGAAATTCGTTTTAGCCGAATAAAGCGAAAATAGATCTGTGTTGAAAATTTGATAAAACTGTATTTTAAATTGACGTAATCGTATATTAATTATTAAATAATTAATTAGATATAGTAGAAATAAGTGAGGGTATATTGGTAAATATATCTATAAATCACACTTGTACCACCCTAATCGTAGTTTTATACTTTGTTTGCACAACGATTAGAGTAAAAGTAAAATATAAGAAACTAATCGCTTGCTAACAACACTTAAATCACATCACACTCTAATCATCTTGCCATTCGATGGTGACATACTGACATGCGATTAGGGTTATCACATCACACCTGTATCGGATTGCCATTCAGGATCCGACTGGCCAACTGTTTTTACATACTTGGAGAAAATACAGATTGATAAGGAAGAATTCTACTTTTTTTTACTTTATCTTTGGTTTAGTGCAAATGTTAAAGCGGATAATTTAGCACGAACAGTTCGTTGTAAATAAATAAATATAAATATTTTATTTTTATTCATCAAATTTTCCAATTGTTTCATTATATATTTTCTATATAAAAAATTGTCTACTTTCCAATTCTATAGTTACAATTTTAATCTTTCAACATTTTTCATTTTATTTTTACAAACAAATTTAAAAATAAGAAAAACAATTTTTAAATGGAAAACTTTATATTACTTAAATATACAAAAAAATAAGTTAAAGTGGTAAGTTAACAAACTTTAGAGGCTCTAAATTAATGTTTACATTATAAATAAATAAAAAGGAACAATTGCCATATTTGATTCAATAATTCTCTTTGTTTTTTTTCTTTACATTTTCAATTTTTTTTTATTAAACATACAAATAAGGAAAACACAAGAACCTTCATAGTTACTTCCCTAAATTTTATAATGTCACGGAAGAACATGCGCAATAATTTCCCTAAATTCTCAAATGTCATTAAAGAACATATGTAATGTCTCTTACCATTCTAAATATAAAATCAACCCAACAACAAATTGTAAAGCAACGAAGCAAAGAGATTGCAATCCACTAACTATATGCTAGGTCTAGCTAAAACTGGAAAATATGAAATCAAGTAACTAATTACAATACCACATAATCTCAAACAAAAGAGTAAAGGTGTCATCATAGATAAACAAAGTAGAAACCTATAGAGTAAAATAAAATCGTTTTCTTTAAAAAATAGATAAACAAGCAATACATGATTTACCTTCCACAAATGTACTTTGAAGCCAAAAAGGAAATATATCTTTGCCCAAAGAATCATAAGATACTCTCACCAAACCCCAAAAACCATGTTGATGGCAAAGTATGACAAATCCACACCACTACACTCTCTCCATTCTTTATTAAACACATGATGCCTCACCAAGCTTATTTTATACCATACTTTTCACATATCACATCCATAAATGCCAACTCACTCTCTCACTTTTAAAGCTAAAAGGAACATTCAAAAGAACCTGAAGGAATCTCCTATAAATATACAGATATGTATAGTTACATCTTCATGTTTTAAAATGTGATGTGACCTTTGAAAATTTCATTTTTCCAAATAATAATAAAAAGGTTGTAATGCTGTAAAATAATAGTTAAAGAGACAAATATGATGTAAATAAGGCGGATTAAAATCATATATTTATAACCCAATTTCTATGAAAATCACATTTTTGTTCTGTACTCTTTAGTAATTAGGCTTGCTACTAATTATGTAAGATAATTGCATTTAGTCATTTACCAACACTTTTTTTTTTCTCTCTTCTGATTTTTCCCATATTCCATCTTATACCTTAACTCTTTAATAAAGCCTTTTAGAAAGGTGCTCGGTGAGGTATACCCTTTCTTCTACTCTTCATTGGGTAATTCCGGTGGCTTTCTATTGAAGGTGTCTTTGGAGATAACACAGCCGCGGTTTCACTGCGTTGATCATCAACTGCGATCGAGATTCCGTTAATCAACCGGCTACAAATCCCGGTATTGCGGATCTTCGAGGAGTCACCGAGACAGAAGGTCAAATTTGGATCCTCCCCACTCTTGACACATTCAAGCTATAAGAGACAATCAAAAACCATAACTGTGAAGCATACAATAAGAAGTGAAGCAAACCATAAAACAACCAAGACACCATTTGTTAATATAATTGAACAATTCAACACAAAAGGAGATATCAAACTTGTGAACTTGAAGAAAGACCAGAACATTGTACATTACCTTACAAGCAAGAGAACAGAACCGGAACGAATCGAGAAGGTTACGAGAACAGATCTGACATGTTTTGTTTACGCTTTTACCCGTTTTACACTGAGGTCTCTCGTTTAGGAAGAAGATCTTAGCACTATTGATAACATAAGTCTGAATACAAGAGATATCAATATGTTTCTGAATCTCACTCACTCTCACCACATTATGATACGACGATCGTCGAATCTGCAACCACAAAAACATAGAATTGGGTTCATTAAAACAAAGGTGTTCGATGAAATTCCTCAGAGAGAGAGATGATGATGAAATCCGAACCTGAACAACACGATGGTCTCTGTGATCATCAAAACAATAAGAACAAAAGGCATTGCCTAAACAATCCAAACAAAACAGATTACATTCACTCTTACTCGATTTTGCGTGAATCGAACAAGTCACAAAGTAGTCAGCTCGAAGCATTGGTGTTAGCCATGGCGGAATCATTACGTCATCGTTCTCCATTTTCATTATCGAACTCACCTGAAATCAAACAGACCCATGAATCAATTTCTACAAAACAAAAACCTCAAAAATCGATTGAAAAATTCTGAAAAAAAGGATTATGAAACAGAGGAACAACCATTGTTTGGGTCTTGATCTGTTCGAGACACGAAACTGAATCTGAGAAACAGAGAAAAAAACAGAGATGGTCACAGAGAAAATGGAGAATATAGCCGCCACAGTTGTGTGTGGGGGTTTACAGAGAGAAGAGGAAGAAGAAGAAGACGATGGAGAAATTTATAAGACACCGAAAAGGTGGGCCTTTTTTACTAAGGCGGTTCTTCTTTACATTACTTATTTTTATTTACATTTTTTCCATATTGTTATAATAATTTTACATTTAGGTCCTTTAATTTTATATTAGCTCAAAACCACCTATTTTTGTAGAAAAAGCTCTATAGACTAGCTAAATATCATCAATTTTCTTTATTTTTATGTAGATTACCAATTTTGTATGGTTTTATTTTGTAGATAATCAAATGCAATAAACTTCAATTAGTGAAATCAATACAGTGACAGATATCTTTTGCGACCCGTGTTAAATATAAGAAAAGTAAATATATGTAAATAATGTGATATTGATACCATAGTTGACAAATTATATTTACTAATTATTATTGTTTGGGTGATTTTTGTTTATATTACTCTTGTTAATTACTTAACTTTTTTTATGTTATTATAATTTTTTTTACAAATGGGTCCTCTAGTTTTTTATTTAACTAAAACCCCCTATTTTACCCAAAAATAACTTTTTTATAAAACAAATATATATCATAATTATATTTGTTATATTTGGTAGATAATCCAACTCAAGTTAAAATTGGTCAAATAATTTTAATGAAATTTATTGCTTTTGACGCGTGTCAAAAAGAAAGTGATATTATAGCAAATAATGTAGTCAAACAAAATAGGAATATCTTCTTAAAACCGTTACGTGAAATCTATACTAGATTTAAAAGAACGTGTGTGAGAAATGAACCACCATATGTACAAAATGACATATATAGATTTTAATAATAAAAACCTAAAGTATGGTTATGTAGTGCTATTACTCATTTTGTTTTTATTGACTGCAACTTAACATTGGTTAAATAGTTTTAATAAAATTTATTGCTTTTGTCACACCATCAACTTCTTAAAATCGGGAACATGATTCCATTCTTCTTCAAGCTTTTGGATTCATAACAAATAGCTCGAGGTGAATCTAGTATTCTAGTGGCATGGTTCTCATAGAATTCTTATACATCCATAGCAACAATGATGACATACGATCCAATTGATGTCCTCGATCATTTCAATTTGGCAATCGACGCAAAGTTATGCTAAGGATGGACAAAGCAGAGTTTATAACAGAACTCGGCTTTAGCAAAATTTGGATTGGATAACGCTTTGTGTATTTGGGCTTCAGAAACTTTAATGGGTCAAAATTGGGCAGGTCCATCATTTAAAACCCTAGTTTCACTTTATCTGGAAAGAGAGATATATGAGCGCAACTACCATACAAGAATTAAGGATGGTTAGCCATCTCCAGGGAGAGTAAGGTTGGCGGTTGAGAGTTTTGACCAAGGTTCAAGGAAGAGGGAGAGAACATGAGCTTAACCATATCGAAAGGGGAAGTCGTGGCCTAGAGAAGAAGCTTGCTGTGAGGCCCAAGCCCAAGAGGGGCCCAGCCAACCTAAATGACACACAAAACCAAAAACATGTGTATGTATATATGTTTATATCGTCATCTTCACGCAACCTTTTCTCATCTTCTTCTTCGCGCTCTCGAAACTCAAAGCTGCAACAACGTCATTCTCCATTGATTAACCTTGTGTATAGAGCCATTCTTGTTCTTCCTTGTTGAGAAAGTAGTCACCGCTTGTCACTGTTACTCTCCAGAGCCATCGTTCATCATAGGAGTCGTGATCCGTTGTCGTTGTTTGTTGGGTAAGGAAAACCTAACCTAGTTATGCCTTCTTTCTAGTGGAATTGTCTCTCTTAGCCATTGAATGCGTGGCTTATATATCAAGTTATCTTTTTTTCTTGTGAAGAAGTGAAAGAAGAAAACAGTGTCAAGTAGTAGATTTGGTGATCCGTTTCCCGTTACGTCTGAAGGAGTTAAGGCGATTTGTCAACTGTTCTGGATAGCTCTTGTTGCCAAGATTTCAGAACAGTTTTGGGATCCTCAATCAGAGGAAATATCGATCGGAAAATCGTGTTTGAAGTTGGCGAAAAGTCACATTTTTCAGAACCCAAATTGTTTCTAAGTATCTAAGAAAAATTACAGTTTCAGGTAGAGGTTTTGAGGATCGATTTCCCGTCTGATCTAAAAGAACTAGATCGTGATTTTGGTATCGTTGGATAGATATTGCTGCAAGGAATAAGCAGAAACCTTTGGTTTCACGACCCAAGGTAAGATCCACCCACAAATCGACTCAAGGTGGTGGAAAAGCACAGTTTTCCTGAACCAAGAAAAAAAATACTAAGTGTTAGAAAGATTGCAGTTTCTGGTAGAAGTTTTGGAGAGGCGTTTCCGGTCACTCCTGAGCAGATATAGACCAAACGTCGGTGGTTATTGACAGAGTAGGTGTCAGGAAAGCTATTGGAACCTTCAGTTCCATCAGAAATGGTAATTCATTGCCACAACATTGCTTGCTTGTTTGCCAAGAAACAGTTCGTTCTGCTGAAATCCAGAAAATCCTAACCAGATTTCTGATCCGTTTTCTTGCGAGGAAAGCTATCAGGTCCTGAGTGTTCTATCAACCGTTACTCGCAGCTTCTTTTTGTTTTTCATATCAATTAAGGTGAGAGTGGTATTTACGAAGCATGGTATCATTTTTTTTTGTTATGCTCCATGACTTGTGGCATATAGGCTTGGATTTGATTGGTAAAGATTAGATTATGTGATGTTATGGTTGGGAATTTAAATTAATGCTTGATGGTGATGTTTGGTAATGTTACGACAAGTATGTAAATATTAAATATGAAGATGTATGTATGTATGAGAATGATTTAGCTATGGACAATGATGGACCGACGGTTTACATGTTGGTCAAGAAAGGCTGACGAGCCCGGAACGCATGGGAGTGTCTGAGTCACGAGGGCCAGCCTCCACTCATGAGGTTATAGTCATAACGAGGATGACTGGACCTAACGATACGTATGTGTGTGTTAGTATGGATAAGATGGTTGTTATGAATGTCGTGTTAGAAGTTAAAGCATGTTAGGTTGATTTCTTGTATCTAAGGTTGTGTGTTATGATGATTGTTGTATAGCTTTAGAAAGTGTTCTATGTTTCACTCACTCAGTATTCTTTACTCACCCATTTTTTTTCCTTCTTTTCCTAGGTAAAAATGTTGTTGAATAGCTGCTCAAGCTTGTCTCTCTTCATGGTGTCTTTGGGATTTGAGTTTCAAATTTGTTAATGCAAAAACATAGTTTCCTTTTAAAGTTCTTTAGTTGTTTTTCACGAGATATGAATGTTGCTTTAGACGAGTTATTTTTACAGCTTCAATAAGATTGGTTCATGAATAAGATGTATGTGAATGTGTTTAAGAATAGAAAATGAAGATGGAATAGTCTCTTATAGGAAAAGTGGCACGTCTTCTCGGTAGTATGGGAGAGGGGTGTCACACTTGACGTGCACCGTCGACGTCTCCACCAGACACGGCACGTCTGTCAGTCCAGGAGAACGAGCTCATGACGTCAACAAAGTCTGGTGTGATGGTTCTTTTTGGGTAAACGAAATCTCATATCAAAATTGTATGTCGAAAGGATTCACATCTGCATGTTGTAACTTGTCTTCGTGATTTGAAGGTTCTTTAAAGTCGGGTCAAGCAAAGGTACTACAAATAGAGAGTGAAAGATGGAGATCGCCGGACACCATCTTCGCCCTTTGTTGCTAGTTGTTGAAACTCCAACGGAAAGCATTGAGTTTGAGAGGGTTCGAGAGAGTTTTAAAAGGAAAAAAAGTTAACTAACAAAATAGCAAAGGACAATGGATCTAAAACGATGAAGAGAAAGGTGGTCTAAGTCGCGACGCTGGCAATTTGAGGCTTTGGTGGGGGACTCCTTGTTGGACAACAAGCTGGGGCGGCTTGAAGGACAACAAGCTGGAGGGCGTATAATAGCCCTTCGACAGCCACCGAAGTAGTTGCAAGCTGTTCAAGTTCTCTCTCTTTAATCGAATTCATCATCATCTCAAAAGTCAACCGACCTCACGGATAAGAAAGAAAGGAAGTTAGGTTTTCCGACATTTCAGTATGCTCTTTAACAATTTTGGGATAATGGGATGTTAGCAGGAGATATCCGTCAACCAGGGCAAGACAAGCATAGCGAATCCGCAATGATGGATCATCAACAATTTTCTTCTTGAGCATGGTGAATACTCGCGCAACAGTAACATCCGACTCAAACCCAAATAACGTGCTATAAAACGGAATCTTTTTCCCAGCGGTCCCCTTCCTTTTTTTTGGGCACGACAGGATATCGCCCACAAGCAAGACCGGTGACCAGATGAAACTCACGCAGAGAAAATCGAACAGGCGTTCCAGCATAAACCACCAAGATCTCGTTTGCATTTGCAATGTCCAACTGGCTACCAAGCAGAAAAAGACCAAAACTGGCGGACCAAGCAGGTTTGTTTGGTAAATCCAACAAACCCCCGAGAGGTGGATCTCTGATAAACTCGATTTCGGATTCCTCCTACGAGTCGATGATGCCTCTAAGAGTTTTCATCTTGTTGTACACGTTGGTTTTCTCTCCAAGGGGTTCTTCACCAGCAACGATTAGACGATGAGGGAGGTCAAGATCTACCATCTACAAAACCCAGAAAAAACCAAAAATTAAGAACAAAATAAGCGAAATAGATCCGAAAACAATGACCAAAAACAAGGTTTAATTGAGATACTCACTTGGACGAATTAATCGTAAAAAGCCGCAACTCAATCGGAGAATCGATTTGAAAATCGGAGAAAAAAAAAAGGAAACTCGGAGAGAGATGAAAAAGAAATTGAAAACACTAAGAACACTGAGAAAAGAAAATAAAAAATAGTTGATATAAAAACTAAAAAACACGACCCTTCGATTTCGCACCGTTCTCATGATTAATAGAACAACTATTCCCAAAAAATTCTCGAAAATCAAATCTTTGGGAGAGATATGATATCTCGGTTCTGACATACGTCTACTGTTCTCTCATATATCTCTCTTATAAATTGATAGGCGGATAGAAGTTTATAGGTCATTATTTTGCTACCGATGCCAGTCAAATAGTGGATAACTCTGTTAGTTAATTAACGAGTCCTCTATGGTCACCACGTATAGATTTCCTACTAACTAATAGTAACTATAAAAAATGTGTGTGAGAAATGAACTCCCACATATACAAAAATATTAAACCTAGATTTTGATATCAAAAACCTAAAGTATGTTTATTTAGTGTTATTTTTTTTTTGCGGAAGGAAAATAAAAAAATCTTAGAATTTATTTGTCCTTGGTGATCGTTTATGATTGGAATATGAAATAAAACATAATTAAGTAGTTAGATGAAAAGACACATGCATACAAAATTGTATGAGAGTTCAGAGTAAAACCCTATATTTTCGAATCAATAGGAATTTTGTGTAAAAAACTAAAAATGTTTTACATAATTTAAATTCTTTAAAAAAACAATAACAAGTGCGTTTTTTTTTAGGACAATGGGAGATTCTTTCAATTTTAGATCTTAGATCGTTTGATTTTATGTTCATTGTGAAGTTTTTGTTGAGATTATTTTCATCTAATTTGTTCGCTCATTAGTTAGAGAACTGAAAATTCTACAAATTCATTCATGTGAGATTGAATTAAGATCGATCACTCATTTGAAATTGAATAAGGAAGGTAATCGAAAATGTAACGTAAATATACAATATAATATACGATTTTAATTATGAAATTGATAGCTTTCAAAGTGTAGAAGATGATCACGAAGGAAAGGAAGAAGATCATCTCGGAGAACAGAGATTCAATGGTGGAAGATGTTGATGATGACAAAGAGAAATAGAGAGATTGAAGAACATAATATATGGTAGCTAATCGGTTTACATAACTGTACCGGAAATAAGAAAATTAAACCAAGTGTAAAAGAAGTGAATAGAATCGAGTTATAAGTTATTAATCAGATCTTCTTGTCACTACGTACACGTGTTCGGCTGTAATCCTTCCAGCTTTGAAGGCTTCTCATTGGTTGTGTGACGGCACATAATAAAAATAATCCTCTGCTAACAGAAACACTATAACACAGTACACTCTGTTTCATTATTGGCTAACAATTTAAAAAACGCGTCCATGAGTAACACGTGTCATGCTGACTCCTTTTGTGCAGATTTACTTGGTCGCAAAGAAATTTGGACTGAAGACTCAAACACAGTTCCTATATAAATCATCTCTCTTCCAATTTCTTAAATAATTCACTTTTTTATTTTTTTTTTCTTTTTGTAAAAATTTGTTTTTTTCCGATCTCTAGTTTTTTTTTTTTGTTACCGGATTTGATCATGGCGGAGGAATTTGGAAGCTTTGATTTACTCGTTGGTGATGATGATTTCCTCTTCGATTTCGATCCTTCAATAGTGATTGATTCTCCTCCGGCGGAGGATTTTCTCCAGTCTTCTTCACCGGATTCATGGATCGGAGAAATTGAGAATCAATTGATGAACGATGAGAATCATGAGAAGGAGAGTTTTCTGGAGTTGGATCAGCAATCGGTTTCAGATTTCATTGCCGATTTACTCGTTGATTATCCAACAAGCGATTCTGGCTCTGTTGATTTGGCGGCTGATAAAGTTTCCGATGTTATCACCGTCGATTCTCCCGTCGCCGGAAAGGAATCTGAAGGATCTGATGATTCCGGGAAGGAGAATTCGGATTTGGTTGTTGAGAAGAAATCTAATGATTCTGGGAGTGAGATTCAGGATGATGATGATGAAGAAGACGATGATGCTGTGGCTAAGAAACGAAGAAGGTATATCTGATTTTACTCTTTTTAAACCTAATTGAGAAAAATTAGGGTTTATGGATGGATTTGTATATTTGTGTTGATTTTGGTTTCATTTAGATTTGAGAACAAATCTTTTAAGTAATTTAGCAGATACGTATGTGTATCATTGAAGATTTGATAAATTAGTGTTTATATTTTGGTTGCCATTATATAGTTTAGCTTGTGATATTCTTCATGAGCTGGTTATGTTCAAACATATGTATGTGTGACGTTAAAGATTTGATTATGAGTGATGTGATTGGTTTTTTTGTCATATGGAGTTCCAGTTTGTGTATTTTGGCTGCATTTAGAATCTGAGGTTTGATAATTGGGATGTGATTGTGGTTCAGGAGAGTAAGAAATAGAGATGCGGCGGTTCGATCCAGAGAGAGGAAGAAGGAATATGTGCAAGATTTAGAGAAGAAGAGTAAGTATCTCGAAAGAGAATGCTTGAGACTAGGACGTATGCTTGAGTGCTTCGTTGCCGAAAACCAGTCTCTACGTTTCTATTTGCAAAAGGGTAGTGGCAATAATACTTCAATGATGTCGAAGCAGGAGTCTGCTGTGCTCTTGTTGGAATCCCTGCTGTTGGGTTCCCTGCTTTGGCTTCTGGGAGTAAACTTCATTTGCCTATTCCCTTATCTGTCCCACACAAAGTGTTACCTCCTCCTGTCAGAACCAGAAAAGCTGGTTCTAAACGGGCTCGGGAGTAGTAGCAAACCATCTTATACCGGCGTGAGTCGGAGATGTAAGGGTTCAAGGCCTAGGATGAAACACCAAATCTTAACCCTTGTGGTGTGACAACGCCTTTTTAACTGCTTCCTTTGCGCATTCGAGTCGTAGATGAGTGTCGTCCTTAGTAGTCTCTCTTGTTTTTGTATTTTTGCTGTTGAAAATTTTCTGTCTAATATGGATAAGTAAACGGTGAATGTGAGTCTTATGGTCCTGGATGATATCTATCTAATAATGTTTCTCCACCTTTAAAATCCATATCTTTTTTGATTTTGAGGCATAACTTCAGGTAATATCACTTCTAATTACTCGAAAATAATGTATTAGGTTAATTAACATTGATAAAGCTTTTTCTCTCATGCTAGTTTTGATATCTTTGCTTCATTTGACATTGTCACAGAGATCTTTATTTGTAGAATGTGGTACGGATACGCAGACAGGTAAAAAAATGGATTTTATATTTATTCTTGCTAGAAGATAAATAGTTTATTAGCAGAATGAAGATAATGTAAACTTCGGAATGTAAAAAAGTTCAAATCTTTTCTAGGACATAAACACTAGTAAAGAGATCATAGATAGTTTGCAGTTCCATCTAAGCAGCATAGAAGTTGTTGATGGATCTAGATACGGTTCTTTAGAGGTTCCCGTTTTGGTTGATGTTCATTGTTTCGTTCTCCAGCATCTCCCTCTCAGCCTCGGCTTGTCTTTCAATCTCCTCACGAGACTTGTAGAACGTTTCCACGAAACGGGTCAGGATGTTGGTCACTGCAGATAGGGACAATAGCCAGAGTAGAAATGAGAACCACAAAATAGTTAAGACAGTAGAAGAATAAACTTGTGATGGTACCTTCCTCGAAGCTAACGTGAGCTGGATACTCACTTATGTAGGAATCTGCAATTCTTCCCTGTGAATTACAAAGTAAATATAGGTTTTGAGCATGATACATGTCCTTCAAGGTCTAACCGAAAGTTATTATATAGCTTACCGCTTCTGAGTATAAGATATTAAGCAACTGCGCGTCGGCGTCAATTCTACCAAGAAAATCATACAGCATCTAAAAACACGAATATCGGGATTAGAAGCAGCTACAAAAACTTTTTCTTAGCTCTTTTCGTGCAATTATCTTTTCTACACATTCATGGGGCTTACGTTTCGGAACCCGACAAAATTTGCACCATCATTTTCTGAAGCTATGAACTCGTCATCCACCTCTCTCTCGATGTCGTATAACTGTTGCATATTCTCAGCAACCGCATTCAATTCAATCTGTAATTTTCAGCAAAAGTAAAGGAGAGTTGGGAATTAGAACAAAAGAAGCAACCATGATCCATGAGTTACACAACAACAAGCATACCTTTGATGCAGCTTCTAAGTGAACAAGGTCATTACCAAAATCCAGCAATTCCGGCATTTTTTCACCAACAAGCTAAACCCGTAAGAAGATAGTAAGACGTTAAGCACCTTACGCAAATAAACGCATTAACCATATGTTACACAGAGTATTTGTTACCTTGCAAAAGTCATGCATCAAAACCACATTATCAGATAACTTAACAAGACTATCCAGTTCACACTCCACATCAGAACCTGCAACACACAACCCAAGGCGCTACTACATCAACCAACAGATGCTACCAAATATTAAAGTTATGAAATTGGAAATCAATACAACAATACATGATACCTCCTAGAATTTCCAGTGTTGAAATTGTTTGCATAATCCTAAGCAACTTCACAGATCCCATTATCTAGTACATGAAATATGATTACTTAATTACCAAGAAGGAGATAGCTATATTACCATGACACAGTAAAATGTCACCCTCCACTATACATACCTCTTTAGTAGCAGCGATTATCGTATTCAGCCAGATTCTTAAGTCTCTCACCCTGGAAGAATAGTCAACCTTAAAAGCAAACACTCGTAATTTTGGTTCTATCCGCGGAACCTTCATTAGTTCCCCGAAAATCTGCAACATTTTTATAGTTAAATGTCAGAGCACATACGATACAAATAACATTTATGGCTTTAAGAAGAGAAGCAAAACCTCTTCAAACTTTCCAAGCATTTCCTTGTCACCACCAGCAGAATTCTGAAAACACAACATGAGTTAGTTTTAGAGTTCAGACCAGTTGAGATATTCGTATTACGACAATATTGTTATAAAGATTACCCTCAACATATCCATTTCTTCCTTGCTCCGACAGATTTTGATTAGATTTTTAATCTGGTCAATGATCAGAGCTGAAGAATCCAAATCTAGAACTGCGTTCTAAGATTACAAAAAGTGACATGTAAACATAAGTGTTATAAGTGATGCAAAATGTTATTGTTACACAAAAATTATTTAAATACTAATAATACCAAATGTTACACAAACTTTAGTTCTTGTTTTCATTCAAAAATGATGGGTAAAACTTACGAGCATATCTGGTAGAGGAATCTTAATCTTGCTAAGCATTGTCTCACAGTTACTTGCCTGACACAAAGCAGAAACAAAAAACATTAGATTTGAAAGTATGAGCTCAGAGGTAAGAATTGTAATCAGTTATAAATTAGTCATAGACTTGCCATTGTGATAAGATATAGAATTTGCAAAGTCTAACTTTTTTTTTTGTTTTACTCACAACCAAAGAATGGAGTATACATCATCAGGTTAGTGCATCTTATATATGTTCCACTTTCTGTTATATTTGGTATATTCACAACTGTCATTTTACAAACAAAAAAAAAACAAATGATTATATTTTTTTCTTAATAGTAGGATTTCTACATACAATGAAAATAATTGATTATATTTTTTTCTTAAAAATAGGCTTTCTACATAAATAAAATAAATGATTATATTTTTTTCTTATAAAAAGTTTTCTACATACCATAAATGTTAAATGTGTGCATAAGTGAAATTGTTCTATTTATTATTTGACAGTCTGTCATTTTTTTTGACGTCACCAAACGAATTTCCACCACGTTGTTCTCTTTGCAGCTACGTCATCAATAATAAATGATTATATTTTTTTCTTACTAAAGGTTTTCTACATACAATAAAATAAATTATTATATTTTTTTCTTATAAAAGTTTTTCTACATACCAAAAATGTTATGTGTATAATAAGTGAAATTGCTCTATTTGGTATTTGACAGTCTGTCATTTTTTTTTTCTGCGTCAACAGTCTGTCATTTTTACATTCAATAATTGTGACTTGACCTAGTAACTTTGTCCTTTATATGTTACATGGGTACAAAAGCAAAAAAAAACGATGTAGTTTTGTTTAAACGAATTACCACCACGTTGTTCTCTTTGCAGCCGCGTCATCAATAAAATAAATTATTATATTTTTTTCTTATAAAAGGTATTCTACATACCATAAGTTATATGTGTACATATAGGCCTCCACTTTGACCTGACCCGATTATACCGCCGCGAACCGAACCAATTTTTTCGGTTTTTGGTACAAATCGGTTTGGATTTCGGTTCAATTCGGAGGGAATGAAATCTAGGTTCAGAAAACCGACCCGACCTGATTACCGATCGGGTATCCGATATTTGTTTTTTTTTTTAAATTATACCAAAATATACCAAAACTAAATCGAATTTAACCGATTTTAACCGATTAAACCGGTTTTAACAGGGAAACCCAAAAAATCGGTTTAATTTGGCATAAATTCGAATAATCGAGATAAACCGAATCCGAGCTGACCCGGCCCGAATATTTGTTCTGTTTACTTTGGATGAAATTTTAATAACTAGAAAAACCGGAAATCCATAAAAACCAACCCAACCCGATCCGAATACCCGAACTCGCAGGCCTATCTACATAAGTTTGTTCTATTTGGTATTTGGCAGTCTGTCATTTTTTTTCTGCGTCAACAGTCTGTCATTTTTTTTTCTACGTCAACAGTTTGTCATTTTTACATACAATAATTGTGATTTGTGTAACGTCCCGACCGCCACACCTCTCTTAATGGACTACATATCCTCTCTCGGCTTGTAGGTTCACCCGTGTCCGACGGTCTGTTCGCTACGTCCGGGAGGTTTTAAAGACTTGTTTACCAACCCTACGAATCTTTACATGTTTTTTGTCCTCATTCACACAGTTCCGACAATCACAACCTTGGAGTTCTCTCAGGACAGTTGACCGAAAAGTTAAGTGCACTTTAGTGATATAAGTGGCCAAATCAATTCTTTTAAACCTCTCCGCATGCACCACCATATTCCTAAAACTGGGGTGTTATAATTCAGCCCCACTAACAGATCGCAACGCACCAAGACTTTCATCCCTAGCGGTGTGAGCCCTTTTGACTCCACACACGTCTGGGTTCGGCTCTGATACCACTTGTAACACCCCGACCCCTACACCTCTCTAAATGGGCCCTATGTTTGCTCTTGGCATGTGGGCCCACCCGTGTTCGATAGTCGGTTCGCTAAAAAAACACCCGTTTCCAAGGGGCTTTAAATACTTGTTTACCGACCCTACAAATGTTTACATGTGTTTTGTCCTCACTCACATAGTTCCGACAATCACTTTAGTGATATAAGTGGCCAAATCAATTCTTTTAAACCTCTCCGCATGCACCACCATATTCCTAAAACTGGGGTGTTATAATTCAGCCCCACTAACAGATCGCAACGCACCAAGACTTTCATCCCTAGCGGTGTGAGCCCTTTTGACTCCACACACGTCTGGGACTCCACACACGTCTGGGACTCCACGGACGTCTGGGACTCCACGGACGGTCTTCTAGAAACAAAAAAAAGAAGGTTTTGGAAATACGAGGTCAAGCCGCTCCCCCCAAAAGGCGATTTTGAAACTTTCCTTTTTTGCTTCCTCTTCACGTTTCCAGCGCCGGCAGCCATGGGATCTCCTCCGCCGGTTGCAGATCCTCCTCCCCTGTCGGAGGTGGTTGAGCCCTCCTCTCCGAAGACCGCTTGGTCTTCACCACTTCCTGAAGTTTCGGTTTCGCAGGCAAAGCCTGAGTTTGATCTAGTCAATGGTGTTGCTAGAGTGTCTATTCCGGTGGATGTTGTGGATGAGGGTATACCTCTATGGAAAAGCTTTGTGGTAGGGTACTTTATGGGTGATGCGCCTCACGTTGGCACAATCCATGCTACAGTGAATCGAATTTGGAGTTCTGCTACAAGATCTTCACGGGTTGATGTTCAGTTCTTGAATCCGACAACAATATTGTTTCGTATCGATGATGAGCAAACTCGGTCACGGGTTTTGCGTCGACGTTACTGGCACATTGCGGATATCCCTCTTGTGGTTAATGAGTGGAGTCCGGAAACTGCAAATGAGAAGCCGGATCTGTCTGCGATGCCACTTTGGGTGGATTTCAAAAATGTTCCAGGGTATATGTTTTCCCGAAAAGGTCTTCGATTCCTAGCTGACATAACAGGGAACTATGTTAAATTGCACCCTAACACTGAGAGATGCACCAGATTGGATATGGCTCGTGTCTTAGTGCAGGTGGATTTGGGGAAGCAACTTACGGAGGAGATCTGTCTTGAGGATAAGTCGGGTTCAACTCACTCGGTGTCAGTCAGCTATCCATGGCTTCCTCCACGGTGCAGTGATTGTTTCGGTTGGGGTCATCAAGTAAATGAATGTGTGAAGAAAAATAAATCTGCGGTCTCGCAACCAGTTCACGGGTCACCAGTTCAGAAAATTGACGACTCGTTAGCGGTTACTGTCCTTCCAGGAAATCAAAATTCGACGGAGATAGTGACTGCTCTGTTGGCTGAGTTGGAGAGTGTTAAAGCAAGCCCTGTGGTTCGAAAGGATTGTGTACAGAATGAGGCTACAACGGAAAAAGACGGGAACTGGTCCTTGGTTACTCGACCAGGGAAGCAAAATTCTCCTCAGCGGAGCTTGGGAACAGAATCACCTCTGCGCAAGGCAGAGACTAAGAAATCAGGGTCTCCATCTGGTTTTAGTGTGTTGGAAAATGTAACAGAAGAAGGTGAAATAGTGGAAACAGAGGAGGAACAGAGTGGTGCTGGTTGTGAAATGTCTTTAGCAAATAAGAAAGAGGATTTACTGCAAACTGCGGTTAAGTCTACACGTAAACCAAAACAGCAGCGCAGACCAATAATGTCAAAGAAGGATATGATCCAAGCGTGTCCGAATCAGAATTCAAAGAAAGCTTCCTCACGGAAGTTCTAATGACGTCAATTTTTGCGTGGAACATGCGCGGGTTCAATAAGCCGCGTAAACAAAATGCTGTTCGTGAATGGATTAAAGCGAGAAAGTTTTCAGTTGGTTGTTTACTTGAGACTCGTATTCAAGCAGATAATTCAAAGAAGATTTTTGAGTCTACTTTTCCAGGATGGCAGTGTATTGCAAATTATGGTTTTCATCGTTTGGGTAGAATTTGGGTTGTTTGGTCACCGGAGGTTGATGTGCATCTTATTCACATGAGTGCACAACACATCACATGTTGGGTTAGATTTCAGTCCACTGGAGAGTTCTTCATTTGCTCTTTTGTATATGCATCTAACTTTGCAGCGGAAAGAAAGATGTTATGGCAGGACTTATGTAACATTCAATCGGGTTGTGTTCAGAACGTTAATCCGTGGGTTGTAGTAGGAGATTTTAATGTTACACTCTCTGCTTCGGAACATTCAAAAGCTCACTATTATTTGAATAATAGGCCAGCAATGAGGGACTTCCAGGATGCAGTCCAGTTTTGTGGTTTGGAGGATTTATCTTTTGTTGGACCAAATTTCACATGGTCCAATAGTCAAGACGAGAACCCTATTAGCAAGAAGTTGGATCGTGCACTTGTTAATGGCCGTTGGTTATCGTCTTTCCCGTTTGCATCTGCTACTTTTAAGATGGGAGGAATCTCTGATCATGCTAGATCTTGGGTTCAATTACGAGACCCTCCATTGCAAAATAGGAGGCGTTTTCAGTTCTTTAATCATCTTACTGCCCATGACCAATTCTTGGAGGTTGTTTCGCAGGTCTGGGATTTAACACAGCCTCTCTTTCACTCAAGATCAGCTTTATCTTTGCTAAATAAGAAACTGAAGCTTCTTAAAGAACCTCTGCGGCGCTTAAACAAGGAGAAATACGGTAATTTACCTTCCCGAGTTAAGGAAGCATATGAGGACCTGTGTCACAAACAAAATGCAGCTCTGCTCTGCCCTCAATCTGCGTCCTTTGCTGCGGTCACGGGGGCTTCAGAGCGTTGGAATCACCTTGCGTCTATTGAAGAACAATTTTATCGACAAAAATCTAGAATTCAGTGGATGCATCTTGGAGATCAGAATACAAGTTTCTTTCATAAAGTTGCAGAACAGAGGGCTGCCACAAACTCCATTAAACAACTTCGTGCAACCAATGGTGATATTCTTACAGAGATGAGTGATATCAAAGCTGAAGCTGCGAACTATTACAAAGCTTTCTTGAATGATCAGTCCAGTGACCTTGAGATACCATCAGTGAATGAAATCTCTGCTCTTGTCTCATATCGTTGTTCAGCTGAGGACGCAGCCTTTCTAATCAAGCCAATATCAGTGGAAGAGATTCAGTCTTCTTTGTTCACAATGCCGCTGAACAAAACACCTGGACCTGATGGGTTTACGGCGGAATTTTTCAAAGCAGCTTGGTCTGTTGTAGGGAGGGACTTTGTCATAGCAGTTCAATCATTTTTTCTTTTTGGCTTCATGCCTAAAGGAACAAATGGTACTGTTCTGTCTCTAGTTCCTAAGATTACTAATCCGGAGAGTATGAAGGACTTTAGACCGATTGCGTGCTGTAATCTCATCTATAAGGTAATATCTAAGATTCTTGCACAAAGACTCAAACATAAGCTTCCTGAGGTCATTGACTTGAGTCAGACTGCTTTTGTCAAGGGTCGGCTACTGTTGGAGAATGTACTCCTTGCTACGGAGTTAGTCAAAGATTATCACAAACCGTCAATCTCCTCACGTGCTGCCTTAAAATTGGACATCTCTAAAGCGTTTGATACGGTAAATTGGACATTTGCTTTTTCAACTCTTAGGGCTATGCATTACCCGGAGCAGTTCATCTATTGGGTCTCTCAATGTGTCTCAACAGCTTCATTCTCTATATCATTGAATGGTGAAATTGAGGGTTTTTTCCAGAGCTCGCGTGGGCTACGTCAAGGCTGCTCATTATCTCCCTATCTATATGTTATTGTGATCAGTAATGTTCTCTCCGGTTTATTGACTAAAGCAGTTGCTGACAAGCGTATAGGCGCTCACCCGAAATGTAAAGAGCTCCGTTTATCACATTTGAGCTTCGCGGACGATATCATGATCTTTACTGATGGCTCCACCAATTCCCTTCGCGAGACATTATCAGTCTTCAAGGACTTCTCTAAAATGTCCGGCCTCAATATAAATGTTGCTAAGTCTTCTCTGTTTGCTGCGGGCAGGGGTAAAGATCACCTAGAGCAGGAAGCAATGAATGTAGGACTTGAGGTTTGTGAGCTTCCTATTCGCTATCTTGGACTACCACTTACGACTAAGTCTTTGTCAAGAGTCGATTATGAGCCACTAGTGGAAAAAATACGGAACCGACTAGCGAACTGGACAAACCGTCACTTATCATATGCGGGAAGGGTTCAGCTTCTCAAATCAGTTATCGCTAGCATCACCAATTTTTGGTGTTCAGTGTTTGTCTTACCAAAGAAATGTTTTAAGGAGATTGAGAGTATGTGTTCAGCCTTTCTCTGGAGTGGTTCTCCGAATATTCATTCTAAGTCTAAGATAGCGTGGGAGGATGTTTGTGTCCCAAAAAAGGAGGGTGGCTTGGGTATTCGTCGCCTACATGAAGTTGCGGCAGTTTTTGGCCTTAGTTTGCTTTGGAAAATCATCACTTCCTCCGGTTCTTTGTGGGTTGCTTGGGTAAAGCGATTTCTTATTCGACAAGGTACTATATGGGATGTCAAAATCTCAACTCTAGGATCTTGGCAATGGAGGAAGCTGCTTAAATTACGCCCGTTAGCTGCTGGTTTTATTCGTACTCAGATTGGGGATGGAAAGGAAACGTTTTTCTGGCTTGATCATTGGCTCCCAATGGGTCGACTGATAGACATAGTTGGTGACAATGGCATTCGTGGCTTGGGAGTGCAGCGGTTTGCAAAGGTATCTGATGTGGTATTCGGTTCTCAATGGGGTTTACGTCGCTGTCGTGACAAAACGTTGGAAGAAATAAAGAGTCAAATACACAATGTGGTTGTTCCGACGAGTGCCGCGGGGAAAGATAAGCGCTTGTGGCTTCACTATTCCGATGATTATAGGCCCAACTTCTCAACTGCAAGGACTTGGGACCAGCTGCGATCTCGTAGGGAGGAGAGGGACTGGTCTAAGGTAATTTGGTTCCCTCAAGCAGTTCCTCGATTTGCTTTCATCGCATGGCTGGCCGTCAATGACAGATTATCGACGGGAGTTCGTATGAGGCAATGGGGCTGTGCTCAGTCGTGTGTCTTTTGTGGGGAGAGAGACGAGTCGCGTGATCACCTCTTCTTCGCGTGTCCATTCTCTTACCTTGTCTGGACGGATGTTGCGGGAGGATTGCTGCACACGGATCCGGACTGGAATGAAACATTGATTGGTTTATGTACTCATCAACAAGCCGGGATGCGTTCCATTCTTCTTCGGATAGCTTTTCAAGCTACAATCTACTGTTTATGGCGTGAACGTAACGATAGGAGGCACAACAAAAGCTCTTGTTCGCACATACAAGTTGCAAAAACCATTGAGAAATCAGTCCGTACTCGCATTACGTCATTGCGATATTATGACTCCAAGAAACTAGGAGGATTGCTCCAAGAGTGGTTTCGGTCTAGAGTTCGACGATAGTTTCTTTTGTATGTTTCTCACTTTTATTCTTGTCGATAAAAACAGTTTGTAAAGGTTGTTCAAAGTAATCAATTTCACATTTCATCAAAAAATAAACGAATTGCCACCACATTGATCTCCTTGCCACCGCGTCATCTAAGTCATTGATTTTTAACGGTTGGCTAAAATTGTTGAAGTCAATGTAAGTTTCGAATTAAAATGCATAATCTATATATTACTTTTGAATTTTTTTCATAAGTTGAGGTTGGAAAAGACACGAATACTTTGTATAAGTAGAAAATTCACTATACGAACAGTGCTGGTTGAATTACATCACTTTTCCATTTAGTTTCAGTATGGTTCAACTTTTACAGTTACAATGTTTTACATAGAATTAAAACCTTTAGATTATTGCATCTTTACTATATAATCCTCTAAATTTTAGATAACACTATCTCTAACATATATAAATAAACTTATGTTATGTAAACTACTTTAGAGTTAATATATATGTTATATATACTTATATAAAAAATCGAATATATTAAGACAAACCAAATTATTTATAGCCTAAAGGATTTGACATCAACATCAAGTTTAGTTTGTTAGTTTGTATAGGTATAGATTAATATTAGTTTGTTTTAGATTCAATTTATTTTATGTTCTTATAATTTTTTTTATTGATGTTTTGTGTTATGTTAATAATAAAAGTCTCAACTAAAAATAAATCGTAAGAAAACCCCTCAATTATATATTTAGTGAAAAAACCCTCAACTTGAAATATGTTAATGCAAATTCTCCTCCGTCTACAGTGGCGTGAAAATTGGATGGACTACAATTCAAATTAAAACATATTTTTTTTTCAGAATTTCTCCTAATCGACTTCGACACCACACAAAATTCAGAAAATCTTACTATGATAAATTAGGGTTCATCAATTTAGATTTTTCACTTTAAAAATTTTAGAGCTAAGGTTTGGAGACCTATAATCGAATAGACGAACATTTTGTTGTTTTGTTTATAATTCACGTTGTTTAAGTGTATATATGTCGTTTACCAATTACAATCTAACTGTAGTCCCTCCAATTTTCACGACAATATAGACGGAGGAGGATTTGTATTAACAAATTTTAAGTTGAGGAGTTTTTTATTAAATATATAATTGAGGAGTTTTTCTACGATCCATCTTTAGTTGAAGGGTTTTTATTACTAAAAACGCTTATGTTAATTGTAAATTACTTATATATGTAACTTGTGGATAATATGATTTAGTATTTTAAACATTAGAGTGTTATTTTTTTTTTTTTTGAATGTTTAATTTATATATCAAAGTAGTGAAAAGTATATACATCAGCTCAGTAGAAACTGTTTAGCAAGCCATCATTGGCAGAGACAACTCTTAAGAAAAAGACAGAGTAAAAAATGAATGCAAAAACAGAGCAAAGAAGATTAAAGCAGAGTTATGGACGATACATAATCCATCGTTGTAGCCAGAGACGTAGACGTGGTTTCTTCGAATAATCAAGCGACGAGATTCTATTACGAATGAGTTTCTCGCCATTACGGATCAAAAGCGCTGGAGATAGGCCGCCATTGTTGTGGATACGTGCGTTCCGCTCACGCCATAACGTGTAGACCGTGACCTGAAAACACAAGCGAATGAGGATATCTTTTAAGTGATCCCCTGAAAGATCTTGGATTGTAGTGACAGTGTCAGCCCAATCAGGGGTGATACGGTGAGAAAGAAGCTTCCCCGCAAGCGAGGTCCAAACCGTGAAAGAGTATGGACACGCGAAGAATAAGTGATCTCGCGTTTCGTCAATCTCACGGCAAAAAACACAATGTTGATTTTGTCCCCATAGCCGGATTCTAGCCCCAGTTGACAGCCGGTTCTGAATCGCCAGCCATGATATGAACCCACACCGCGGAATCCCATGGCCAATTAGAGTGTTATTTTACTGTGTATAAACAGTAATAGAAGAAAAATTAGCAAAACGTAAGAAAATAATGAAACATATACATATTAGTTAGGATACTACTTATATTTAGTTCGTTCTATGCTTGCTATCATATGAACATTTGTTTTTTCTTCGTTAGAGTACACGTGTGATTGGTGGATTTAGAGTAATTGAGCTGAAAGAAATATAGAGTAATTGGGCTGAAAACACAAAAAAAATTACTCTCAAATTACATTTTTTCTTGATTGGATCAGCATCAGCCTAAAATAGAGTTGTGGTCATTTACTCTGCTTTTTTTTACTCTAATAGTGTTTCCTAGTCAAACCCTATGTATTTTGTTTTTTAATATATCGGCATATGCCAAAGTCTTTTCTTTATCTCAAAGAAAGGAATTTATTTTTAATTAAATCAACTAAATTTTATAAATATTAAATTAATTAAATAGTAATTGTTTTAGGTTTGGTGTACAAAGCGTCGTCGGCCAGTCTGTCTCCGACATCATCAAATCTTACTTCTCAGAGCCACATGGCAATTGGAGCCAAATCTCCGATTATGTCACATAGACTGGTTGAAGATGTTTGCAGTAATATTTACGAATCTTTTTTTTATTTCTCTAATTTTTGCATATATGTAACACTATACATATAATTTCAATTTAAATTTTATTTATTTAATTATTTTTATTAAAAAATATCATTTCCATCTCGGTATGTACGAGAAGATTAAAAAGACGTTTTGGCGTAAGGTAAAACATTGTTTTAACAAATTGTCGTAGATTGGAAGAAAATGTTGAAGAAGAATGGCGACAAAGCGAGACTTTTCTTCATCACCACCAATGTGTTGAATGGTTTGGTTGCGTATTAGACTTATCCACACTCCAAGATAATATCTGAAAAGGCATCTAATTCTTGTAACACCGTTAGTGAAGACGGTCTTCTTGTGGTTGTGACACTTACATTTGGTCAAAAGCCTTTTGCTGGAAGGCGTTTGAATATGATACGTTAATTTATCTTATAATAAAATTATATGATTTATATGATATATAATTTTTTTTTAGTTACATGAAAAATGTTAACTACACTGCCGCAAACGGAGGTGTTCTCTATCCATTGAGAAAGCTTTTTGAGGCTACTTAAACATAGAAGAATAGAGATTTCTTGGATGCACAATCAAAAAAGCTCTACAACAATGTTGAAGCAAGAGTAACCGAGCGACAGACTCAACTATCTTAGCAGCTATCTCTTGGTGTTTCTTCGGTTCAGTCTACGAAACCTCTATCATACCCGAAATTGCTAAAATTTCCAAAAAAAGTATAAATTATTTATTTTTGATTAATTTCTGAAATATAATTATAAAAATATATGATTATATTACATTTATGGGAGATTGACACAAATAGCCCCAAAAAAGTTGTTTTTTCCAAAAATAGCACCTCATTTGAAAAGTTCCACAAATAGCACCATAAACTTCAATTAAACTTAATGAAAATATAAGATAGAAAATAAAAAAGAGAGCAAACACTAATCTAATATTAAATTGAATCAAAATTGTTTTAAATAGTGGAAATATATACCCTAATTTGGAAATAGGGAACCCAAATATAATACCACAAACTAATATTAAAATAAAAATCTCTTTTAAATGGTGAAAATATATACCCTAAATTGGAAATAGGGAACCCAAATATAATACCATAAACTAATATTAAAATGAATCAAAATCTCTTTTAAATGGTAGAAATATATACCCTAAATTGGAAATAGAGAACCCAAATATAATATTTTAAATTTATTTCTAATTTATTTTGTTGAATAGCTTTTATATAAAAGTTGTGGTATTATTGAAAAAAAAAAAGCTAGTGATAAAATATTTAGAACAAAAACACTAATAGTAAGTTAACTAGTGCTATTTTTGGAAGTTTATGGAGTGTGTGCTATTATTGTCAATAAAACTTGTTTTAGGGCCATTTTTAAGAGTTTCTCTACATTTATTAATATTTGGGAGATTGACACAAATAGCCCCCAAAAAGTTGTTTTTTCCAAAAATAGCACCTCATTTGAAAAGTTCCACAAATAGCACCATAAACTTCAATTTAACTTAATGAAAATATAAGATAGAAAATAAAAAAGAGAGCAAACACTAATCTAATATTAAATTGAATCAAATTTGTTTTTAAATAGTGGAAATATATACCCTAATTTGGAAATTGGGAACCCAAATATAATACCACAAACTAATATTAAAATAAAAAATCTCTTTTAAATGGTAGAAATATATACCCTAAATTGGAAATAGGGAACCCAAATATAATACCATAAACTAATATTAAAATAAATCAAAATCTCTTTTAAATGGTGGAAATATATACCCTAAATTGGAAATAGAGAACCCAAATATAATATTTTAAATTTATTTCTAATTTATTTTGTTGAATAGCTTTTATATAAAAATTGTGGTATTATTGAAAAAAAAACTAGTGATAAATTTTTTTAAGAAAAAAACACTAATAATAAGTTAACTAGTGCTATTTTTGGAAGTTTATGGAGTGTGTGCTATTATTGTAAATAAAACTTGTTTTAGGGCTATTTTTAGGAATTTCTCTTAATATTTTTATGTTGTCCCTAAGAAAGGAAAAAGTCATAGGAATCGGAGTAGTTGGAGACGTATGAATGTGTTTAAAATAAACTAATCGAATGTTACTAATTTAACATTTGTTATTTTCCTGCAGAGTTTGCCTAAAGCATTGATTAAAAATTTACCACAATGATTGACTGATTCATTTCTAGAATGTGTGCAACTATTATTACTTTCTCCGAAAGGTTCAGTAATTGGGGAAACTAGTTCTCGATGAAACAAAAGATGGAATCTCGAGTCTAATAAGAAACAATTGGAGCTTGAGAAAAAAAAAAAAAAACTGAGTTGGTTGAAGAGCTGCAATGAAAATGATCGAAATAACAAATTTTGTATAATTTTCTCATTTTTCACCTAGACCATTAAAAGTTTTGTAGACTCGATTCAAAAATTAGCCTAACTAGATTTTACCCCGCGGTACACCGCGGGTCGATTTTTTTATAACTAAAATTTTTTTTAGCAAAATTTTAAGTTGTATTTGTTTTGTTAATATTGTTTATTTTGTTTAGTGTTTCTGATTTTATAATTAAATTTTGATTTTTAATTCTAAGATTTCATCCATAGTATATTGTTTAATATTAATATCGATCTAAACCCGCTGCACCATATAACCCCGTCCCGTAAAATTAAACATCATTTGTTATTTTTTGAATAATATTTTTATCCACTACGGGTCGCAGGTTCATGCGGATAAGCCCGTAGAGAGTTGCGGGTTTGCGTGTCGACCCGCCAAAAGAGAAGCTATCTTTTGAAACCTTTTGTTTTATTTAGAGGTTTTGAGAAAGTATCCCTAAAAAATAATTTTCATTATATGAAAAAAAAAAAAGTAGAAGAAATTGTAATATCAACACTCCCGATTTTTACATCACTCGTTACTATTAATTTTTTTTTTTTTGCAGATAAAAATCAGAAGTTAACTAAGTCGAGATTTTTAAAAAGATTGTGTAGAGATTTTTGGTAAATTGTTGAGAACATATTTGATTTCAAAATCGTTACTTAAATAGATAAGGAAAGATTTTGTAGAGACTTTTGCTAAATATATGAGAAATGAATTTCATTTAAAATTTTTTACTTAAATAAAACAAATCTAAATAATTAATGCTAATGGCATGGCATTGTAAATACTTCTCAACTTCAGGATTTATTTGCTAATTGTGATCCAAAAATGTATATATAGATACCATTTTGCTCTTATTGTTGTTATTGTATAGGTTGAAAATTCAATTGACAAATCGTCGTTAAATTTTATTTTTAAAAACTATATGGTATATACCTTACATTGATTTTAATTTATTCTTTCTTTAATTTTCATTTCTAATATAAAATAACATATGTATTATGAAATTTTTAATATTTATAATATAGTTTCCAGATTCATCGATAGAGATTCAAAAAGATCAATTTCAACCATCGTACAAGAAAGAAATCAAGTTGAAAAGATCAAATCTCTATTCCCTTGATTGGATGTTTCATTATTTTGTTACACACTTATGCATCTTTTTTTTTGTAAACCAAATTAAACAATTTTTTTGTTTTGTCATACATTGCTCAAATAAATTCCGTTTTAACATGTAGCATAAATTGGTTATTTCTCAAATACATTTCTCCTCAGTCTTAACATATAGTTGCTAGCTCATCAGACAAGAAAACCTTATGAGATTGTTTTTTTTAAAAGAAAATCTATGGTATCTCTCTTAATGGAAACGTAAATGAAGAAAAACAAGAGGTATGCATAATACGATTTCGCATAATAACTCATGATATAAAGTAATGTTTTGGTGAAAAATATAGAAAGAAATGATCAAAGTTGTTCATTCATAGACTTTGCATTCCTCATCGGCCGGGTTTGTCTTGCAGAAATCCTCCAAAGGATCTCCACTTCCAACAGCTTCCTCTCCCGGCCACTTGCTAGCCACTAGGTGAGCCAAATCCACTACTCTTTGGCTAAAATACGAACACGCAAACGCAAAACGTAAACAAACAAACAATCATAGGTTAAAACATAAAATGATATCATGTAATGTGTTATATATCTCACCTGTAACCCCACTCGTTATCATACCAAGCAACCACCTTGACCATATCATCACCCATAACCATAGTGAGGGAAGAATCAATGGTGGTAGAGACATCAGAGCACCTGAAGTCAACAGAGACAAGAGGGGCGTCACAAACGTCTAAAATGCCTTTCATCGGTCCATTAGCAGCTTTTCTGAATGCCTCGTTCACGTCCTCTGCTGTCAAACCTTTCTTCTCAACGTTTATAACAAGGTCAACCACTGAGACGTTTGGTGTTGGCACACGGAGTGCAATCCCGTTGAGTTTACCCTTCAGCTGAGGCAACACTAATGACACCGCCTTGGCTGCACCTGTGCTGGTAGGCACTATGTTCAGTGCTGCGGCTCTTGCACGCCTTAGATCCCTGTGTGATGCATCTAGAAGCCTCTGAAACAATTCATTTCAAACATATATATGTATATATGTTACTTTCGATTAGATGAATGTATTAGGTCACATCACAGTATGCTTTGTAGTACAAGTTGTATGAGTGTTTACTCTACATAAACCGAACCTAAACCAAAACCAAAACTAAACCCGGATTTGATAGCTTATTTAGTTATATTCAACAACCAAGAAACCGAAACCCAAATAGGAGTAGTGAAATATTTTGAGAATACAAACAAGCTCTTCCGTTAGGTTTCTACATGGATAAACAAACAAAGATGGAATCTTACTTGGTCTCCGGTGTAGGAGTGTGTCGTCGTCATTGTCCCCTTGACGATTCCTGTGATTAAGTTTATGTATGAGCAAGAAGAAACCATTTTGAAATATGTAGTGAGCAGAGAAAAGCAAATGTACCAAATTCTTCATCCAAGACTTTAGCAAAGGGTGCCAAACAGTTGGTGGTGCAAGATGCATTGCTGCAAATAAATACCAAAAATGAAGCATGAATACTCAAAAGTAATTATTGTCTGAATGACAGCAGAGGTTTAACTTTAAACGGACCTAATGATGTTAGCGACGTCGTGACCATAGTCTTGCTCATTGACGCCCACAACATAGGTAGGGATATCAGCACCTTTGGCTGGTGCAGTGATGATCACTTTCGAGGCTCCAGCTTGGATATGCTTCCCTGCTCCTGGCCCATCAACAAACACTCCTGTTCCCTGATGATCATAACCATAAACCATTTATCTTTTTTTCAATTAAATAAGTTTGTTTGCCATCAGAACAATGCAGGTTTAGATAGAAATTCACCTCGATAACAATGTCAATGCCGAGCTCAGCCCATGGAAGCTTAAGAGGGTCTCTGTTGGAGACAACTTTGATGAGCTTACCATCAACGCTGATAGTTTCATTGTCCACAATTTTCACTTCAGCCTTGAAGGTTCCAAGCATGGAGTCATACTTGAGCAAATGGGATGCCTGCAATTTCATCAATGTCAAAAATGTGTTCCACAGGAAGAGATCACAAAGTTTATTATAGACTTACATTCTTGACACCACCACTGTCGTTAAGTACAACAACTTCAAGAGGAGAGTCTTTGCGACCATGCCAACACCTAAGGAAGTTCCTACCAATCCTTCCAAACCCGTTAATCGCAACCTTCAGTTTGGCCACTGTCTCTCCTCTAACAGGAGTGGATGTTGTCACAGCCTAATATTTCACAAACTCATCACATATATGCACATTCATATATAAAAAATACAGTTATTAATTCAATCAATCAATCAGTCACCTTGGGGATGATTTGTGCAGCTACAGCATCGAAGAAAGATGCTTCCCCACCATTACTACTCATACGCAGACCGGAGAATTCAGCAACTTCTAGCCTCTGTGCAGTTAGTAACAAGAGAAGCAGATAAAACAAACCATAACACACACAAAGAGGGTATTTGCTAGATAGAGGGAGTTAGTACCTTGGAGGAGCATTGAGCAGGGAAAGAGTGAATGGCACTCTTAGACTGCAGTCTCTGTGTGACCGGGATTCTGGAGACGGCGAGAGCTGCATGTGTGGCCATAGCTGCAAGTGAAACAAGAAGAAAAATCTAGGAATGCTACTGATCAGTTTTGAGCGTTAGAATATATACATACATACACACATCCTTTGGTTTTGATCAAAAGCAACCAATGGTTCAAAGTGAAGCAAAGAAATATGTGGTTATTATGTAGGTAAGATACAAATGGGGATAAGATTCTGTGAGCCATTGATCACAAGTATCTCTAGGCAGTTATTTTATAATTCTTCTTTCCATGTCAGATAGTTTCCTTCAAGAACTTAGCTCAGAATCAGGAAATTTAATAGTCTCCTTAAACTCAGATTTGGCTATGATATCCTTCAACACGACGATTTCAAGAGGAACAAGGAAGAAGGCAGTCGTTTAAAGAGAGACGAAAAGTTGTACAACATTACACAGAAAGGAAAACAATTATTGGGATCATAATAAGTAATCTCCCGTGATTCGATTCAAATCCTAAACAGATGATATCAGGCAGTAGCCTCGACTTCATCGGTGCTTAGAGCTGCACCATTCGGAGTATCTTCTGATTTTAGCTGAGATGACACATCGTCGATAGCAGAGTTGAGCTGAGCAATTTTCTCAGCTAGTACCTTACGTGTTTTCTGCATTAAAAGTACACATTCTTGTTCATAAGTAAATCAACAAAAAGAGATAAAATATGAATCAGGCTTAGCAATAACTTACCTCCAAAGCTTTTTCCTCGTCATAGATGAATTTCGGCAATTTCCTCATGAGATCCTTTCGGTCTGCTCCAGCTATAGCCTTGCTGATCTGATATAACTTACAGACATTGTCAAGGAGAGTAGAGAGGGTTATACCTAAACCATGTGATTCAGAATATTACCTGTGGTGCATATACACATCCGAGGGCACCGACTATAAGTCCACCCAAAATAAACCCTCCAACAAATAAGCCTGTGCTGCCTGAACCATCATCATCTCTGCAAGATTTGGTTCTATTAGACATTGCAAACTGTCTCTGTAAACATTAGTTGTTATTCAGGAGGTATGGTGTTTATAGTCGAGAACCGCTTTACAAATAACGAATGAGAGACTTTTGGACATCTCAAACAATAATTGAGAGAACTTTTTTACAAGTAAGAAGAGGATCAACTCCTATACCTGTATGCAGATTGAATGGTTAGAATCCTTTTGTTTCTAGGAGCAGAAATATGCAGTTTGTTGGAGCGATTCAGTCCAAAAGAAACACTGACACAACGAGCATTTGGCTTCAGAGAAACACCTAGCATGAAAGGTAATAAGAACAAACAACAATCAGTGACTTATATATCTGCATAAAAAGATGCAAACCGGATTTCGATTCTTTCTAACACAAAAGAAAGCTCACTTTCACTATATGAAATGAGAAAACAAAACAATTGTTACAGATGTATTAATGGAACTGCCTCAAGAAATCTAAACCAAACACAAATGGAGGATGAAGAAAGCGATTCCGAAACAAAAGAGTCAAACTTTTTCGTCTTTTCGATAAATACTTATCTATATCAAAACCTCTTCAAGCTCTAATTTTTCATTCTGTCATGCATTTCAAAACCATTTTTGACAAATCACCACATGATATGAAAATAAAATAACTGTGTACAGAGGTATTAGTGGAACTGCTTCAAGATATCTAAACTATGACACAAATGGAAGCTAAAGAAAGTGTATCAGAAACAAAAGTTTCGAACTTTTTCGATAAACACTTATCTCTGCCAAAACCTCTTCAAACTCTAATTTTGCATTGTGAAATGCATTACAAAACCATTTTTGACAAAAGAAAGGACCCAACATAAAGGAATCAAGATCATCCTCCAATACACAATCAAATTGGGTTCTTGAGAAACTAAATTAGAAATCGTAACATGACTATATCAAATCTCATAAGCTCAAAACGGGAATCGACAATCTATATAGCACGAAGAAGATTAGTGTAAAAGATTCGAGAGATTGAAGAGATTTTTACCAGATGAAGGATGGAGTTGTTGAGAATTCTTGGGGAGAGAGAGAGAGGTAGAAGAAAGAGACGCCATGGATGGAAGAAACTGAGATCCTAAGAGAGAGCTGTTGGAGCAAGTTCGATGATATCTAAGCAAGCTTCTTCGATTCAGTGGTAATTATTTATTTAAAAATAATTACAAATATTTTATGAAAAGAGATTGAAAAAAAAATAGAGAAATTGTTAAAAATGCCCCTTTTTCAATATCCCTTTTCAAAAATGCCCCCTTTGAGAGTCCATTTTTAAGTTTGCCCTCTTTTAATTTTTAATGACCATTTTACCCTTATTTGAAACAAAATTAGGTCCACAAAATACAAAATATTTTTTGGCGGGAAAAGTGATCCCGCAATTTTCCCGCCAAAACACTTGTAAAAACCTTTAAAAAACCTTGTAAAATTTTCCCGTAAAATTTTTTCCCGCCAAAAAAATTTTTTTGCGGGAAAAGTGATTCCGCAATTTTTTTTGCGAAATATTTTTGGCGGGAAAATTTTTGGCGGGAAAAATTTACAAGGTATTTTAAAGGTTTTACAGAGTATTTACAAGTGTTTTGTAAGGTTTTACAATGTATTTTAAAAGGTTTTACAAGGTACTTATAAGGTTTTATAAGGTATTTATAACTTGTAAAACCTTAGGGCATCCGCAGTGGTGTAACCTTGCGTGGGGTGTATCTATTTTAAAATACAGAAATAATGTAAAAGTTGTCTCTCTCTTCTATCTCTCTCTCTCTCTTTCTTTCTCTCTCTCTTTTCTCTCTCACTTTAAATTATAATAATAAAAAAAATCTTACACCCCTCCCTCACACTTACACCACTGCGGATGGTCTTATAAAAAACTTGTAAAACCTTATAACTTGTAAAAACCTTATAAAATAGCTTGTAAAATCTTATAATATCTTATAAATACCTTGTAAATACGTTGTAAAACCTTTTAAAATACATTGTAAAACCTTATAAATACCTTGTAAAAAACTTTTAAAATACCTTGTAAATTTTTGGCGGGAAAACTTTTCCCGCCAAAAATTTAACGCCAAAAAAATTGCGGAATCAATTTTCCCGCAAAAAAATATTTTTGGCGGGAAAAATTTTACGGGAAAATTTTACAAGGTATTTTAAAGGTTTTACAAGTTTTTACAAGTGTTTTGGCGGGAAAAATTGCGGGATCACTTTTCCCGCCAAAAAATATTTTGTATTTTGTAGACCTAATTTTGTTATATTTCCTTATATATTTGTGATATCTTTTATTAAAAGAAGGGTAATTTAGTCATTTTGTACATAAAAAGGGGTATTTTTAAAAATGGACAGCCAAAGGAGGCATTTTTGAAAAGGGGTATTAAAAAAGGGGCATTTTTGTGAGTCTCCCAAAAAAATATATGGGAGAAATGAAATGACCATCGAAACAATAATATTTGGCAACTACACCAAAAAAATGTCACCAAATAGTTTTTTTTTTTTTTGTTACAGCTTTTAATTAAAATTAATGTCACCAAATAGTTACACATACAAATTTTAAAATTCATCGTTAGCTACCCAAAATATTATCTTTAAATACATACATCTCAGAACTAACATAAGTTATGTTGCAAACACCATGACATTCAATTCTAATGTTCCGGTTGCTGGAATCCGACGTTGATCAATGTTGCCGGCGTTGACCAAAAATATATTCAAATTTTTCTTTTCTATTTATTTTTGATAAACAACAAAAAATAATGTTGACCAAAAAAAACAAAAAATAAGAAATTATTACATAATTTTACTTAAACATATAAAAAATATATCAAAACAAATATAACAAAAAATAATATAAAAAATATACCACAAAAAAATTATTTAACAATATTTTGGTATATATTTTTATAATAAAGTATATATTTTTCTTTTGAAAATCATTTTTCTTTTTGAATCCAAAGGTCATTTTTCTTTTAAAGAACATCATAAATACCATAATATATATATATATATATATATATATATATATATATATATATATATATAACTAACCTTTGAATATATAAAAAGAAAAACGAATTTATAAACACCGTAATATATACTTTGATTTGTGTTGTTTACTTTACAGATATATATAAAAAAAATTTGGTATATACATATATCTATATCCAAAGGCCGTACATTATTTTCAAAAAAAAAAAAATATACCGTATATTTTTTTAAAAAAAGAAAACCGACCTTTGAATTTATAAAAAAATGAATGCCAAAAAAAAAGGTATATTTTTTTATATTACAAAATTTTATAATAAAATATAGCACAAAATAATTTGTGGTTTATTTTTATTTTTATTTTGTGGTATATTTTGCTAATAAAATTATGGTAATATAACAAAATATACCTTTTCCTTTTGGCAATCATTTCTTTTACCACAAAATAATATTTTTCTTCTCGGTTGTTCGACGTTGAATACCACAAAAAATAATTTCCATAAGAAAAATGTATATTTTGTTATATTACCAAAATTTTATAACAAAATATAGCACAAAATAAATTATGGTATATTTTGTTGAATACTTAGTTATATTACAAAAATATATACCAAAATTTTGTTGTATAATTTGTTTGTGGTAAATTTTGTCATATTATTTTATGGTATATTTTGTTATATTTTTAAGTAAAATTATGTAATAATTTATTATTTTTAATTGTTATCAAAAACAAATAAATAAAAAATTTTGAATTTTTTTTTGGTCAACATTAGTCAACGCCGGATTCTAGCAACCAGAGCACTGGAATTGGATAGTTATGGTGTTTGAAACATGATTTATCTTAGTTCGGAGATGTCCGTATGTAATAGCAATACTTCGTGTAGCTAACGAGACATTTTTAAAGTCGCTGCCAAACATTTTCCCAAAGTTTTGAGATGATGTAACAATTGGTCATCTAATCCGGTTACAGAGAGAATGACATTATTATACAGGATCGGATTTAGGATATGTGTCAATTCGTTCTGAAAACTAAAATATCCGAAAAAAACTGATTTGGATCCGTATAGAAGATCGATTTGTTCTTAAAACAAAAGTGTCCCGAAAAACCTAATTTAGATCCGGATATCAGATCAATTCGTTTTAAAAACTAAAATATTCTAAATAGCCTGATTTAGGTCTGAATATCATATTAGTTCGTTCTGAAAACTAAAATATCTAGAAAAGCTTAATCAGAGTCCATATATCAAATTCGAGATCAGATTTTTTTTATAGAAAATGATCAATATAAAAAATAAGAGAATCAAGGAAAAGTAGAAGAAATGATTATCAAATATATGATCACTTGGTCATCAAATTTTGTTAAAGTTTTTGATTATATATTTAACCCGACAAAAAATACATAGGTTAAAAATGGGCATATTAAAAAAAAATTCAACAGTTGATTGCTTCCAATGAGGATGTTGAATGAGTGTTAAAAAAATTATTACTTGGATTCATTGTTATTGAATTTTCTTAACATTTTAAAAAACAAAAGAGTCCCCACTAGTGATACATGTCGTCATCTGAAAGGAGAAAGTTGTGTAATTGGTTTACATGCGCGTCCAACATACGTGAAGTGAACAATATACTATATCAAATGATTGATTTTTTTTGGACAATGACACATGTATTTTTTTTATTGAATGTTTGGATTTTCAAGATTTGTATCTCCACGACTCCACCTAATTATTTGACCTTAATTATTTTATCGTAAACTAAGTTATTTTATTAGAATGTTTATATCAAAATTCATTATTTTTTCTCTATATAAATAGAGACTTGTTTCATTTGATTTGAACACAGAAAAAAAATCTACATTTTTTACTATAATTCTTCTAATTCCTCTATTACACTCTTATTTAACCCTTCAAACATCTTTTTTGGGGAAATGGATCCCAACAAAAACCCTTTCAACAACCAAAATTTTACTAATTATCTTTTTAACTACCCAAATCACAATACTTATCAACTTCAAAATCAATCTTTCAACCAACCCCAAAATATACCAAAT